CAAAACCTGGAAGCATGGGATTCCTCAGCAGTGCGCATCCACGATCCCGCCTCACGAGATACAGAACCAGGATTTATCAGTCTCGTGCCGGAGCATTTAACCGATAGACCATTGAGTCGGCATCCAACGGTGTTAATGTCTAACTTCAACCGATCCACGAAATTGAGAGACACATAGACCAATGTCTACAGTGAATTGATATGTCACAGCGGACCTGATTGAACTCCAGTACTTCCAAGTTTTCTATGGTAGTCTAGCTTCAATTGATTCATGATCTCAACTATTAAAATTACTATAATATCCACAAAACCCCTTCTGATAATGATATAACAGAATGGATTTCATTAGACATGTTTACTGATTACTAATTGATCTGAATGCGAAGACTGCACTAAGTCCCTAACATCCCTTGAATTTCTATGATACAGAATTTCTACTTTTTCCTAGTCGAATTTATGTTTATAGTTAAGTAAGTGCTGATAGCGTTGTCCAGAGCAACAATAAAAATAGCTCAATTAAACCATATTGATCAGAGAATCCGATCAAACCAAAAACCATTGATTGAGCATTTCAGTAGACATTCTATACTGTGTTTGACGCAGAAACGCTGACTATCATATATTGTAAGTGTTTTAATATTATTATTTTCAACTTAATAAATCATCATCTTGATAATAATATTTACCGCTTAGTAACCGATTTGACTCTTCTTATAAAAGAATTATTACATCAATCAGTGAAACACAAAAGAATAATCTTCAAAACTTTCTAAATTGATTGAATCAACCTTTACGATAACACCATTGATCCTATTACATATTTTCTCTCTCTTTAAAGTCCATTTGACTATTGATCGATGATTCTATTTTTGTTCAAACCAAAGAAAAAAGCAACAACAAAAAATCAGAATAACAAACCATGTGTCACCTTGAATGTTTTTTTTCTGTTTCTCCTAACCCCTCTCTTTTAAAATAGTAACCTATAAGATTAAAAATTTTTCTTATTCAGTTTATTGATAAAAACAAAATATTTTTTTCTAGTTGAAATATTCAACTAAAAAATGTTTTCACAGCCCCACCCCCACCCCTTCTGATAAATTGTTTTTCATGAGTGTAATTTTTTGTTGTTTTAAGTCTTTAAAACCGAAGATCACTTCTATGAAACTTTAAATGTCACATTGTTAACGTTATAAATTTTGATGTTAAACCTAATAAATTAAGCATTACTATAGTACATTACAGTATTACATAATCACCACTTTTATTCTTTTCATCTTAGTTAGTTGGATGTTGTTTTGTTAATATTGAAAGAACAAAAAGTTCTCTTAACATTTTTTATCATTAACGTCATGGTTCTTGATACCATAAACTACAAAATAAGGAGTCTTCTATTTATTAAGCAATTAGTCCGTTTGATTTGTCAATAACAGTGTTCATATTACTTAGAAGTGAAATTTTAGAAGTTATATTACGTAATGATATCATAGTTAAAACAAAAAATGACAAACATTGTAAGCAAAGATGTATAGTGGCTTGAAGTAGAATCCAGGATGCGCGTTTCGTCCTATCTGGGACTCGTCATACGGATGTACCGGCATCTTAGAGTTGACGTTCACTCTGCGACTCGAACTCAGTTCCTTTCGCTTTAAACGCCATCACGTTATCCACTCAGCTACTGAGTCCTGACAAGACGAAACGTGCGTCCTGGATTCAACTGCTAGCCACTATCCATTTTTGTTTACAATACTTGTGAATTAAGGCTATGTCCAGGCAATACGCACATATCTTAGTGATATTCAGATATTAATTTGATCTTGACTTAAGTACACAGACTTCTCATGTAATCAAGTTATTTTTAGTAAGATTCAATAATTATCAATATAGGTAGGGTTTATTAAGAATGTTGATTATAAACTGTAAGATGATATAATCTTTGTTAATATCTTATCATAAGTGCTAGTAGCTAATGCTACTTTACACAACCAGTTTACTTAATCCTTTCTCAAAATTCAAATGCTTATTGATTTTAGCCTTATGATATGTTTTTCAAACAATTAACATGATTGTTGGATCCATTTCAAATATAGAGACCCTAGCTAACAATCCAAGTCTTTGTATTGATAAAAACTTTGTAATACCCATATCTCTTCCTTTGCCGAGTTAGCCTTGGTAAACGATATTAGTTATTATAAACAAAGATGGATAGTGGCAAGCAGTGGAATCCAAGATGCGCGTTTCGTCAATGCTTGTGACTTCAGGCAATATTGAGGCAATAAGCACATTATGCACATTCGTCAATAAGAGATTGACCAGTTGCAGGCCTAAACATCAATGGAAAGATTCAAACAAACAATACTAAGTGGATTTTAGTTATTATTTTAGTGTCCATATTTTTCAAGTCATTGGCCTATTTCCCATTATGTAACATTGATTCAAGCATTTATTATTCTTATCACAACTAGTGTACATGTCATCACATCATTGATTTGTACTTTTAACTTATGTTTATTTATGCAATTTATTCCACCGTTATCACTGACTGATAAACTGTCTTCATTGGTTTAATAGTTTCGTGTATGCATATAAATATTATTGTAAATTAGTGTAAGAACTGATGAGGATCTAACTGATAATATTGTTCGCTTTTATGGGTTGCTCCATTTCAAATGTACATATCAACTTCACCAATTAGAGTGCCAAACCTTTACTTCTAATTGTAGTAATCTTCGTAACCTTATATGGCTGATAGGAAGTTTGGAAATAAAATGAATTCACTTTATTTTGTGAATCTTGTTGTTCTTTAGTGGCCTGAGATCTGGCTCCAGGTTGGTCGTTTGCTGGTTGTTATCGAAATATACATGTCGCCAATCCCCGTAGACAATCATTGACTTAAATCACGTTCGTGAATAACGGAATTAAATAAGTCAAATATGAGAATGCAATTCTGACATATATATTTCATACAATCGTTGATTTGAACAGACAATCGATTACAGAAACGAAGCAAAGAAAGCAAAGAGAAGAGAACGAAGTGAAACGAAATGACGTGCGGTGACGAATGCAAGTAATCCAACTTGATTTACCCAAGTGTGAATCGATATTCATAGTCGAACAAAAATAAGTTACAGACATGTGATGAGTAAGATAGGGAATGCACACAGATACGCTTACATAAAGACAGTCAAGGTAGATAAGTGAATATGTGTTATGGTGAAAATGTACATTGAGAAGAATGAATAGATTGATATTTCCAGAGGTTAGAATAACCTATATGGGCTTGACATAATAACAGCTCCTACAATTCTTCTTTGACTTAAGTATGATATACTTCAATTTAAGATAGCACTTCTCTCAACAAATAAATTTTAAGCAGTAAATTAACTAGGCGGTAATTATTAAAACAGTTCCTGATTGTTAATTCAACACAAAAATTTAGCACTTTTTATGAAAATTATAAAAATCTTTAAAAAAAAAAAAGATGAAGAAGTAAATGACGTCGCGACTACTGTCCTTCTTCATATGTTGTCAACCTCTGTATCTATAAATATCCCTTGAATTTATTTGAACACATTAGCTTGGAATGCAAATGCATTTTTAAAAGAACACAAAATTCATTAACCAATTTTCAACTGTTATATCCTTTAAAAAATTACATTATTAATAACATAAAATACCGAAAGAAAAGAGAAATCGATCGATAATGGAAACAAATTTTGGTTATATAAATCTTAATTTAGATTGTGAATGTTTTAATACGATTGGATAATGAAAAGTGGTCGATCCATTTTCTTCTTTTTTAACTAAACTGTTGATGAATTTGGGCATGGAATGACCTTTATTCGATAAACAATATGACATACAAAAAATAGATCCATATTGGTATCAAGGATTAGAGGTCAATGATACGATAACATTTCATTTTCTATTAGATAAGTGCATAATTTAGAAACAATAATGGAATTGGTATGGATCTATAAGAAAAATGATAATTCTAAACATCTGGCTACATTCACCAAAATCCAAAACAGCAAAATCTCTACATCACAAATTAAAGAGATTCCCTTTTATCAAAAACAATTAGAAACTGAGGATCAAAGAAATCGAAAACATTTCAGCGGACCTATGGGCAAATGTAATGGTCTTTCTTTATCCAATTATAGGGAAACCATTTACGAAAGTAAAGTTTACAAAATTATCACAAGGGGGTTTTTGTGGAGATTTAGTAATTTTATAGTTAAGATCATCAGTCAATTGAAGCTAGACCACCGTGGAAAACCTGGAAGCACTGGACGGTCGTTTCGTCCTATTATGGAGTTTTGTTCTCTTAGCTAGATGGTTTGGTCGTGGAGCTTTCATCGTCTTTCTAAACGACATAAACTCCATCAAAACTCTTCATATTATATATATTGTGAACAGATTTTGTATGAATGAGACTTTCAGTCATGTGAATAAAACTAATAATGTCATTAGTTAAAGATATAACTTTTAGTTTCTTCCATGAATATTTTTTCCTTATTTAATACTTTTGTCGTATCAATGTTAAACGGACATTTAAAAAAAACTAGTACTAAATTCACTTGGTATTGTTTACTTGAATCATCCCAATTATGTTTAAGACTGCAATTGATCAGTCTCATATTGGCATATGTGCATACTGTGCGTATCGCCTCGATATAGCCTTAATTCACAAGCATTATAAGCAAAGGTACTAGTTTCGAGTCCCAGAGTGAACATCAAGTATTTGAATTTCAAATACTTAAATTCAAAGACTTCACTTCTACCCGAAGGTTTGTACTGATGATGGACGATGAAACCTCCACGATCAAAATTTTCAGCTCAGAGAACAAAACTCCATCAAAATCATCCACCTGAGCTACAAATCTTCTCCACCATTTCATAATTTCATTCTTATCAAGTATGATATTCTTATTTCTTATTAAAATCTAATATAAAACAAATTCTTTTCTTATTGAATAAAACTACTTCATATTTATAACTTACTTTCTCTTTTCTTTTTGATAAACGTTCATTTCTTCGAAATGCTATAATCTCTTTATCCGTTAATGATATAGGTATATCTGTTGTATTATGTTTTTTCAATGATTTACACGTCATTTTAGATTGAATTGTTTTACTAGTAAGACTTGTAATTTCATCTTTTTGTTCATTATCCAATTCAACATTCCGTTTGAGATCATCTTTATGATCTGTTGTTGGTGTCGTTGTTGTTGGTGTTGTTGACTCTAAGAGATTACTAGTTTGATTATTAGTATCATCCAATGTATGATTATAATCTTTAACTGTTAATAATTTTGATAATAATTTAGAATCTTGTATTTTATCTTTATGTTTATAATCATTAAGTAATGATTGTAATTTAGCTTGTTTATCTACAACTAATCGTAGATTATTCAATGCTGTAATAAGTCTAAATTGTTGTGAATATTCATTTGATTTGATTGGATTAATTGTTTTATAGTTTTCATTAGTATAGTTTGAATATTCATCATTATCATTATCGTTACGACATTGATCGTCAGATTCATTGTCTTCATCATTATCATCATCGCCACCATCATCATCATCATCATCATCATTATCTCCTTCTGAATACTCGGATTCTTCTTTGATTTTCACATTTTCTTCATTTAAATCTAATGAATGTGGAGTTTCTCTTCTACATACTATATCCTGTAAAAAAAGCCTATTAAAATTTAATGACATTATTTCATATAATATGAATGATTAAAAAGTGTTTAGACAATACTATTGAAGTTTTCTTTCCAATGAAATAAGTAGTATGGTCATATTATACAGAAAATGATAAATAAATGTTAGTTTGAAGAAGAGTTCCAAATTTTCTATAACATGTGTAGTAACATACATTTATCCATGTGTAAATCTATTCATTAACGCCTACATATAGATCAGAAATTTCCTTTTTGTTGTTGTTGTTGTTGTTGTTAGTGGTGGTGGTGGTGGTGGTGATTTCATGTATGTATCTTATATAAGTAAATAAAATACACAGATGATTTTTATTAAGATTGGTTGGAAATTAATAATGACTTACTTTATTCATATGATCAAATGTTATTGGTTACTTTAAAATTCACTAGTTGCTATCTACTGAAAAAAATATAAACAGTAAAGATAGTTTATATATTTTTTTAAAACACAACATTTTCAGGCATTATTCTACAATTATCTTTCAGTATGAATTTCGAATATATTTTTCACTGAATTAGGATCCAGGACTCGTCATGTGGATATAACTGCATCTCAGAGTTGATGTTCACTCTGGGACTCGAATTCAGTACTATTTGCTCCAAACACCGTGACGTTATCCCCTTAGCTACTAAGCCCTGATAGCCATCTGCTTGTGCAATGAGATGAAGTCCTGGATTCCTTTGTTAGCCACTATCCATCTTTGCATATAAAGCTTGTGAATTAATGCAATATTAAGGCAGTCAGTAGAGGGTGCGCATATGCCAACAAGAAACTGATCTATTGCTGTCTTAAATAACAATGGAATGTTACAAGCAAACAACACAAACAGAAGATGAAACATGTCTCATTATTTATTACAATTTTAAACCAATTCTTTTTAATTTCTCAAACTCAGTTGTCGCCTACATAAATGTTAAGAGTCAAGTAGTTATCTGTATAATATTGTAACTAATGCTCTAAAATACATATTTTCATGGGAATTCAATAATTGATGCTTGCATCCAGAGTTTCAATGAAATTAACCAGTTTAAAGTAACTACTTGAATTCTGATACTATTTTTTGGTAACACTATTCATGCACCAAGATGAATCATCTGTAATTGTGACAGAACTAGTGATTTTCATAGGATTTAAACTCACTTCATTAGGTGTTAAAGTCAGAAAAATTGCTTCTGAGCTATTTAGGCCAAAACTGATATCACGAGTGAGATATTATTGCTGATTTTTCACTGAGCATGTTAGTGTAAATTTCGTATCAGTCTCTTTTGATTACATCAGAGCGTTTCCTATCGACACTTTCCAATAGCATTCAAATTAGCTACTCCACGTTGATATTCCTCCTTCCTTACAATAATTGTCAATCTTAATAAATTGTTGATATGATGCGTAGAAAACTACAATGTTATATAATGTGATTTGGGTAATATGCTTTTTAAAATAACTAATAGTAGAGTTGTTTTTTGACTACAGACAACAACTGTAATTAGGTATTCCATGACTTTTTGTTCGTTTGGAATTTACACTTTCATCGATTGTCTAGTTACTTTTATAGTAAATATCATCCATTTATTTTGCTTGAAAAACAATAAACAAAACCAGAATGCACTGGGCCGCTGTTTCGTTCTAGTACGACGTTCCTAAGTAGTGAGCATCTCGACCTCACCTGTGATTAAACCTATAACATTATGATATTACTGTGTGGTCTTTACTTGCAGACCACTTTACTAACATCTAATGGTCTACATATTTAAAATCATAGCTGAACTTCATAAGTTACAGCTTCCAATTAGACATCCAGAAGCTACCTGTCGAAGTTAGTGATTAGTGGATACAATTGTTACTATGCAAGATGTTCGAAAGGTCGTCTTTCTGATCCCCGGAGGGGTTGTGCATGTACGGTGCTGTGAGATTACGAAATTGGGACGAAGCAGCAGTTCATTGGCTCTTGGGTTTCAATGTTTGTGTAACTAAGATCAGTCAGTGATTTCTACCATCTAATTCAACATCCGCCATGAACCCTTGAGATGATATGACTACTTTAAAAATTGAAATACCAAAAAGTAGAAAACCGTAAACGGAGTTTGTAAAATGGATAATTTTACTATAATTTACAAAGAAACATTTTATACTTTGTGATATTTTTAACCTAAAAAAAAGCAATAGAATTTCATGCCAAATATTGGATTCATGTGGCAAACAGTTCTAGAGATAAATGAAATTCGTAGCATGATAACTAAAAAGATTTTCTAAATCATACATTCAGAATACCTAGTGGATTGAAAGTCTTTTTAAGAGATGAAAAATAAATTTATTATTAAGTAGAAGTTGACTCTTAATCAATATCTTTCTCAATAAGTTGTATGTTGATGGATTTATATCTAGTTTAAATATATAAAAGAAGGTAGTTGATCTCAATTGCAAAAACCATGAAATCCTGAAGGTCAAAGGAGAAGAGGAAGACCAAAAACACATTACGCTGAGAAATGGAGACAGACATGAGAAGAATGAACAAAAGTTGGATAGAACTAGAAAGGAAGGCCGAGGACAGGGTGAGTGGGTTAGAGAATGCTGGTCGGCAGCCTATGCTCCATTGGGGGTAACAGGTAAGTAAGTAATGTGTTATCATATGCCCAGTAAATTATCGTAGATTAGTAAGTTAAGAAGTCTGTAGGAATTACATGACAGTGTATATTTGTAGTGTCTTTTAAAACAACAAACTTTTTTATTTGTATACATATTGATCACTTATCTTTTCACTGTCATACATAACTGTTGTATCTCAAACTTAGAATTCTTAGTCTATCGCACAATACTTGACCAGTCGAACGTTGGAAGCCTCCCAAGTCACAAATCAAAAGACAGAAGACAAGTAGAAGGAACGTTATTCCAGACAGCGTCGAATATGGTACAAAATTATCAGGTATTTATAGTTTATAGTAGAAACAAAATCATCATTATAGTTATCCAATACGCAGACAGGGAGTTATCAGCATTGTCCAATAGGGAAGCTCCACGTGGCAATTCTGGAATATTCTTCCAAAAGCTGATTGGATGGAACATGTTGGGCTCCTTCTGGGCTTCCTAGAGCCTCCTTGACTTCACCTGTGGACCATCTTCACAATAACATCAACCTTTTTTTTAAAATATGAATTCATCTTCAACATGTAAATATTAATCAACCTTAACTGTTATGTGAAAAATATTGTTTCCTTTTCTTGTTCCTTATATTATTTTGAGCTCAACTTCATTGATTATTTTCACTCGGTATTATTTGTTTAAGTGAATAACGCTATGACGTTTGAAGCAAAAGGTAATGTGTTCGAGTCACAAAGTGAACATCAACTCTGAGATGCAGGTACATCCTGCTGACAAGTCCTAAATCGAACGAAACGCGCGTTCTGGATTCTACTGCTAGTCACTATCCACCTTTGCTTCATGGATTATAGTATGTAAACATTTTTTAATAATAATATTACTAGTGTAAATTTAGGCGGTTTGCAGTTGATGAAAAGCCTTGAAATACAATGAATTCATGTTATTCTACAAATCTTGTTCTACTTGCTTTATTTAAAATATTTTATTGTCATATTCATTCATTGATCATATGCTCACTAGTGACTGGCTCAATGAGGTATTTCCTGGAGTCCTAGTGAGAAGCAGTGACGAGTAAAGTTCAACTGGGTCTGTTGTGAGACATCAACTTATTGAAGACAGTGATGGATGGTGGCTCAATTTCGTGGATTAGTTGAAGTTAGACATTAACACCGTTGGATGCCGAATCAGTAGTCTAGTGGTTAAGCGCCCACGCACGAAACTGATAGGTCCTAGTTTCGAGTCTCGCGAGACGGGATCGTGGATATGCACTGCTGAGGAGTCCCATAATAGGACGAAACGGCCGTCCAGTGTTTCCAGGTTTTCCATGGTGGTCTAGCTTCAATTGACTCACGCTTTCAACTAGAATTAATTCTGCTTCAAACATACTCCGTAGGCATGGTTTGTTCAAACAATACAATTACAGATAGTATAACCTGTTCCATTCAGTCTATCTATAAGTAAATAATATGGTTATATATAAATATTGATATATAAATATTGATGTTTAGGTTATATTTTATATGAAATAGTTAACTAGCAAAGTAGATAATCGAAATATTGGTCATATTACGCACTGTCTGACCAACTAATATATTATAAATCATTCCCTATTATGAATAAAAGGTATGAGTTATTGTGACATATCTATCCATATTAATATGTAATCATTTGTCATTGATTACAGAACTTAATGCAATACTCAATTACTTCTCACGATATGTTTGATTAGTGACATAAATAAGATTCTTATGAATGTGATCAGATTTAAATCTTTCATGGAAAATAAAACCATATTCATCAAGAAACATTCCGTCGGTCAGCATAAATTAAAAAAACAGTCTCAATAATCATTAAAACCATGGAACTCGAATCCAGTATTGTTAGCTTTAAACGTTATCGTGTTATTCACCTAGTTACTAAGTCCTGATAGCCATTTGCTTATGTGTCCTTGTTTCCAATGTTAACTACTATCTATTTTTGTTTATAATTGTTTATAAGGCAATATCGATGGTATACAAATAATATGCACATATACCAATAAGAGATTGATCAATTGCATTCCTGAACAACAATCGGAAGATTCAAGTAAACAATACCAAGTGAATTTAAACATTTCTTATCTTCAAAAAAAAAAAAAACTAAATTTATTTGATAATACAATTTAAACATTTTCTTTTCCAACTAATCTCATGTTCTATAAATAACAATAGATAACATGTAAAATTATTTATGGGTTGTTTAAAATACATTGTATGCCTACGCAAATAGTGTGTACAAGTGAACCGACAACCTTACGAACGCCTATACACATACATACCTATATACTAATCTCAAGACATATATATTTGTATTACTATTTCATTGTTTGATCAATCATGCTAGTCTAAAACACTTTACTGTCCATTTTAATTAGTATATTACTGTTTTTCATTTGATGGTGGTGGTGGTGGTGGTGATGTGGGTCAGTAACTATCAAAAACGATTGTTATCGTGGAGAATATGATTCGACTTCATGTAATATTTGTGCTGTTCTGTTGATACGTTTTAGGTTGATTAAAAATTTTATTCATATGCCCTAATTACATGCTTTCATTTTATATAAAACAGCAGAAAATTGAAATGACCATCTTTGTAATGATGAATTGTAAACAGTTGTTTAAATTGAAGTTATTTTCTTTATCATTGAC